AGGACAGAAAATATGGTATTCCATTCAACTGCACTTCCCTGATCATTAGTAATAGTGATTAGCTTTCAGAAATGTATTATCAATTTTCTTTTTTTCTATAAATTCCCTCTAATTTACTTTCCTGTTTACTGACATGGTCAATAACACATATACAATAATCATAAACACTTAGAGTGTAATGGCCTACAAACTATACAACTCCAATATAACATTACTTTATGATGGGGCTGGGAAGGTGGCTTAGTGATAGAGCGCTTGCCTTGCATGCCAGAGGCCCTGGGTTCGATTCCTCAGCACCACATAAGCAAAAAAAAAAAAAAAGCATTACTTTATGATAAAAACTCTCAATAAAGTACATCATCACACTGAATGAAGGAAAAAAAAGTGTTTCCTCTAAATCTGGAATAAGAAAAAGATGATATCTAGAAACACCTGTTATTTAACATGGTTTTAGAAGTCTGAGCAAGAGCAATTATGGAAGAGAAAGAAATACAAGGTAAGGGCACTGGTGGCTCATGCCTGTAATCCTAGCTACTCAGGAGGGTGAGATCTCAGGATTGTGGTTCCACGCCAGCCTCGACAAAAATATCCATGAGAGACTTATCTCCAATTAACCACCAAAATTCTAAGTGGAGCTGTGGCTCAAGTGGTAGTGCGACAAGGCCCAGGCCTTTGGGTTCAAGCCCCAGGATCAGCAAAAAGGAAAGAAAAGACAGAAAAAGAGAGAGAGAGAGAGAGACAGACAGACAGAAACAAGAATAGAGAGAGAGAGACAGAGATAGAGAAATGCAGAGAGCGTATCCAAACTGGAAAGGAGGAAGCCAAATCATTCCTGTGGATATTTTTGATTTAGAAAAACTCCATTAAAAACTGTTATAACAAACAAATTTGATAAAGTTGTAGAATATAAAACCAACATACAAAAACAGTAGCATTTTGATATGCCATTGACAAATTTGCTGAAAAAGAAAGAAAGGAAGGAAGGAAGCAATGTGTAATTTATACAAAAATAAATAAATATCTCAGAATAAATTTAACCAAGAAAAAGAACAAGCCTAAGCTCTATAGTAAAAATAGTAGTACTTCAAAAAAATTGAAGAGGACACACACAAAAAGTGAAAAGACATCCCACATTCACAGATTTGGAGATATGGTTAATATTATTAATTAATTTTGTTAATATTATTAAAATATCCATATCACCCAGAGTGATCTACACATCCAATGCAATCCTCGTCAAAATACCAATGGCACTGAGCACTGGTGGCTCCTGCCTGTTATCCTAGCTCAAGAGGCTGAGATCTGAGGATAGCAGTTTGAAGAACCTGAGCAGGAAAGTCTGTGACTCTCTTTTCTCCAATAAACTATCCCCAAAAGACCAAAAGTGGAGGTCTAGTTCAAGTGGCAGAGTGCTAGCCTTGAGCAAAAAAGCTCAGGGACAGCACCAGGCCCTGAGTCAAGCCCCAGATCCAGCACTAATTAATTACATTCTTGACAACATAAAAAATTATGAAATTCAGGGTGGGGGGGGCGGGGGGAGGGGGAGGATGGGAAGGGAAAACAAAGGAGGAGGCTACAATGCTTGAAAAGAAATGTACTCATTATCTTGCCCATGTAATTGTAACCCCTCTGTACAGTATTTTCACAATTAAAAAATTATGAAATTCATATGGAGCCACAAAACAGCCTGACTAGCCAAAGCAATTCTAAGGAAAAGGAACAAATTTGGAGACATAACCATACTTTATTTTAAAGCAACTGCTTTTCAACAGAGGTGTCAAAAGGAAAAAGCATGAGTGGTAGAAAGAAGTGTCATCAATGAGTGGTGCTAGGAGAAGTACATATATTCCTAATTCTTAAAATGATTAATATACCTGAAACTAAAAATACTAGAAGCAAGCAATAGGAGAAACATTTTAAGATATTCGTGTCACTAGACACTATGTTGAAAATGAACTATACGATTTGTGAAAGGGAACAGGAGGGAAAGAGCCAGGGAAGGGATGACATTGTCCAAAAAAAAAAAAAAGTACTCATTACCTAACTTATGTAACTGAAACTGCTCAATACATCATCTTGATAATAGCAATTTAAAATTTTTAAATGATTTTAGTTTGTTTTTCTGTTTTCTTTATTGGAATACTAGAGGACTAAGAATTCACTCTACCACTTGAGCCATCTCTAACAATCTCTGCTTTAGGTTATTTTTCAAATAGGGTCCTGCTTTTTGCCTGTGCCACAGCAGGGAGCAAGCTGGGACTGAGATCCTCTTACCTATGCCTCCTGTGTAGCTGAGATGATAGGCATGTACCGCCACACCTGGCTTATTTTGTTGAGATGGGTCTGGGTAACTTTTTGCCCAGAATGGTCCCAAACCACAACCCTATCAATCTCTGCCTCCTGAGTAGCTGGTAAGACCCCAAAATGTAGTCAACAAAAGCAAAATAGACAAATAGAATTTTATCAAACTAAGATACAGATGCACAGAAAAGTAAAACAACAATTGACCACACAACTCAAAGAATGTAATACAATATTTCCAAACTACTGAACAAGATACTGAAAATGCATAAAAAAATCCAACAGCAAGGAAACAGTCTAATTTTTTAAACAGGTGAATGGTCTGAATAGACATTTCTCAAAGGAAAATATACAAATATCTAATAAGTATATGGAAATATTCAATAAACTAACCATCAGCAACATATATATATGTATATAAACATATATAATTATGTATATGTAGATAAACATATAAACGAAAAATATATATGTATACCTATATATGCATATATATGGAGGTCTCATCTTACTCCATATTAGAATGGCTATTACCAAAAAGCAAAAAATTAGGAGTACTAGGATATAGTACTCCTATATATAGGTCACAACCAGCTCAATATACAAGAAACTTATGTATACTGGCTCAGTTGATAATCCCAGCTACTTAGAAGGTAGTGATCAAAGGATCAGTTTGGGGTTAGCCTGAGTATAAAAGTGCTTGAGACTCCATCTAAATCAATGACTGGGTGCATCTGTCAGCCCAAGCTGTGGGGTAAGCACAATGGCTGGGCACAGTAGTATACAGTTGGCATACCAGGACAAACAAATGCTTGGGAATAAATCAAGACTCTTTCTTGAAAAGAGCCAACACAAAAGGGTATGATAAAGTAACTGAAGTGATAGAGCTCCTGCCTTACATCTCTTAACATTTACTATTTTCATCTGTTAACCGTATTTTTTCCTTTTTTTCCCCCCAGTAATGGGGCTTGAACTCAGGGCCTGGGCACTGTCCCTGAGCTTCTTTTGCTCAGGGCTAGCACTTTACCACTTAAGCCACAGCACTACTTACAGCTTTTTCTGTTTATGTGGTTCTGAGGAATCGAGCCCCGGGCTTCATGCTTGCTAGGCAAGCACTCTACCACTGAGCTACATTCCCAGCCCCTCCTTGATTTTATTATGTCTATCTTTTCTTCATTTTTTGGCTCAGTTTAAATATCACCTCTTCTGAGAGGCCTTCTAATCAAAAGTAGTCTTCCATGCTAGGACAATAACCAGTTTCAATTTCTTACCAAGTACTTATCACAATGTAATTATTTTTTCCTGTTTATCTGTTCGTAAGCTATATGAAAGCAATGAATCTGGTTTCATAATAGTCTCATTGCTTTATACTCAAGGTTTAGAACAGTGCCTAGCATATAGCAAGTAGTCAATATGTATTTACAATCAATTTTTATTTTGAGCCCACTATATGAAATTCTGATTTTATAAAAAAGTAACAAAATTTTATTTTTTAATAAGTATACCTGTTGAATAAATCCAATTTGTCTACATTAAGAGAAAAGCAACTAGATAAATATGGTCAAAATAGATTGAAACTATGAAAATAAAAGAAAACCTTTTGAAATATTTTTGGAAGGGGGAAAAGAGAATGGTGGAGGGGGTGAGATTGTCTGGAATACATTGTAAACTTTTGAGGAAATTTTACAATGAAATCTCTATATAACTAATTTAAGAAAAGCAACAAGCTCAAACAAAATATTCTTAGATATTCTCAAGCAGGGAGTCATAAAAATTAAATTCATATAAAACTAAGTTACATTTTTCCATTAAAAAACACTTCAAGTTGTAAATTTTTGTAAGAGGAAAATAATAAAATAAAATAAAACATATTAGCTGGCTGTGCATTGGTAGTTCACACCTGTAATCCTAGCTACTCAGGAGGCTGAGATCTGAGGATCACAGTTCAAAGCCAGCCCAGGCAGGAATGTCTGTGAGACTCTTATCTACAATTAACCACCAGAAATCTGGAAGTGGTGCTATGGCTCAAGTGGTAGAGCACTAGCCTTGAGCTGAAGAGCTCAGGGACAGCGTCCAGGCCCAGAGTTCAAGTCCCATGACCACCACCAACAAAATGTATTAGCTGGGTGCCAATGGTATTGTCTACAATTCTAGCTAGTCAGGAGATTAAGATCTGAGGATGATAATATGAAGCCAACTAACAAGAATGTCTGTGTTATTAATATTTAACCAGAAGTGGCTCAGAGACAGCACCAAGTCCCTGAGTTTAAGCCCCATGACCGAAGAAAAAAAGCTAAAAGCGGGCTTGGGGGGCATAACTCAAGAGCTATTCTTACCTGGCCTACTGTGAGGAAGGCCCTGGTTTGGGTTCAACTCCCCCTACATCAGAAAGCATAAAAAGGAAAAAAACAGTCAGGGGCTGGTAGCTCTAGCCTGTAATTCTAACTACGAAGGAAGCTGAGATCTGAGGATTGCAGTTTAAAGTCAGTTCTGGCAGGAAAGTAGCCCTGAGACTCATTTCCAATAACTTCCAAAAAGCCAAAAGTAAAGCTGTGGCAAGTGATAGAGCACTAGCCTTGAACACACACAACAGGGCTAAGCCCTGAGTTCAAGCCACTGGACAAGTAGCCAGGAAAAAAAAAAAAAAACAGGGAAAAAATTATACAAAAACTAAAGATGTGTTAAACTTTCACAATTACCTGTAGAAGGTGGCAATTTCTCTGAGTGCTTGGCATTTAAAAGTTTTCTGCTAATAAATATGTAACCACAGGGACATGATTTACATGCAACAGGAACCTGCAGGGAAAAAACAGAAACTATATTAGTGTTTTTCTATTGTTAAATTTCTCAGTGTTTATGTAATCTCTTCAAGTGAATAAATGACTTGAAGTAGTAACCATAGATTTACTTAAACCATACCTTTTTAAAACAAATTATTTGAGAGAAACATTTTCCTAGTGTTACAGTGTATACCTTATTATACTGATATCCTAAGCAGTTTAATGCAAGATAAACATGTACAGATGTGAGTGAAAATAGAAAACCTTAATAGGATCAGGGGCAGGGAAAGTACATAGGAAAAAATGTCTTTCTTAAAATACTGTTTTATAACAGTTTATGTTATAGAATAAATTGGAAAAGGGAGAGCAGCTAAGGTGCTAAGTAATCCTAGCACATCATGAGGGCTCAAGTGGAAGAGAATGGAAATAGAGAAAAGGTAAATACATGAGATGTTTTATCTACAGGAAAAGCAAGACTCAAGTCTTAGCTAACCATTAGTGATAAAGTGGAGATAACCAAAAATAGGTCAGGGTTCTGAGAGAAGATCCTGACATTATTTATGACCAAAAAAGAAAGGAAGAAAAGAAAGAGAAAAAGAGAAAGAGTTAAGGTCCTTTCTTCTACCTTATACCTATCACTTCTTTGTCAGTACTGGGATTTAAACTCAGGGCCTCAAGCTCACTCAGCTTGCTTGCTTGCTTGCTTGGTGCTCTATCACTTGAACTATTACACTTGAACTATTCCTCCAGCCCTGTTTTTTGTTGTTTTGAAGAAGGATTCTCACAGACTTTTCTGCACAGTCTGGCCTTGAGCCTAAATATCAAAAATATTGATAGCACCCACCATCATCATCAATATTTTTTAAGACAAATGTTAAAAATCTTTGAAAAATATTTTTGGAGTTGCCTACGTAATCATTTAATATTAAAGTTAACCTTTAAATCAATACATTTCACCAAAAGTCAGATATTAATCTTAAAAGTACTCTCAGAATAATCAGTAATGTAGCTGTAATTCTCTTCACAAGATAAATTCTGTCAGCTCTATTGAAGTCAAATTATGAAGTTTTTTCAATCCATCTATTTATAGAACTCTTCATATTCTAGAATATATTCCACCTAATTAAGCTAAGTTGAAATTGTGGCAAGAGAGTTCTTTTCTTTGTATAAAAATACTGAAAGAAGGGCTGGGAAGGTGGCTCAGTGGTAGAGCGCTTGCCTTGCATACATGAGGCCCTGGGTTCAATTCCTCAGCACCACATAAGCAAAAAAAAAAAAAAAAAAAGCCGGAAGTGGCGCTGTGGCTCAAGTGGCAGAGCGCTAGCCTTGAGGTGAAGAGCTGAGGGACAGTGCCCAGGCCCAGAGTTCAGGCCCCACTACCAGACCCCCCCCCCCCAAAAAAAAAAAACTGAACACAGATCCTTAATTTACTTTTAGAAGCAAATGAATCCTATTAAAAGGGCATGCATGGCTAACTGCTTGCTGTATTAAAAATGTGATGACGGAAGTGGCACCATAGCTCAAGTGGTAGAGTGCTTGCCTTGAGCTGAAGAGCTGAGGGACAGCACCGGCCCAGAGTTCAAGCCCCACGATCAACCAAAAAACAAAACAAAAAAAAAACAAAAAAATGTGATGAAATCCCTTCAATCCATGATGCTGGTAAATATAAATAGTGTATGTCTTAATAGTATAAAACCTGCCCAAAGTAAATGTCATTTTTTAAATTTCACATCCTCATAGAAACCAAACTGGAGGTACTAACTCATTTCCTTTACATTTAAACATGTCATAAGGGGATCTATAGTAATGCAAAACTGTTGTAACTAATGTTATCCAAAATAGAGAAGCAAAATGGTCTTATTCAATAGATCCTTTGATAATCCATTAAGCATATTCTTCCAGCTATTAGAACCTAATAAACTGAATTTAGGTTTTTGTCATATACATGAATTATCAATTTTTTATCTAACAAAAAAAAAATTGTAGATAAAAAAAATTGTACATCTGGCTTTGAAATCCTGATGCACAAACACTAATTCAATTGACCAGTTGATTTTCATCTCTTATTGAGTTCTGGTGGAGAAAACTTCATCTGTCTTCGCTACTTCTAATGCTTTATTTACAAAGGGAAATTTCTTCTCAACCCCCACCACCCACCAGCACAACCCAGAGATATTGCAGGCAACTTGAATATTTTAACCTCATTATGGTATAACTAGGCTTTTAAGCAAACATCCTAAATTTTACTTTAATTTCAGCCAATGATGCTAAAGATTTTATTAATGAGTTCTAATACTAGACTTCTGGGATTTTAAAATGGAAAAAAATTCAAAGTATCATTTACTGGTGGCTTATTATCAATCTGTTTCTTGAAAAGTAAACAAAAATTTTTGCATTTTTCAAAAGAAAAGGTTATTGAAACGTTTTATAAAAACAATCCTTGATCTCATATTATTTCACTGATTTTAAAAGGCTCTAAAATAACCAGATTACAGAAAATTCATCCACAGTAGTCCCACCTTACCCACTTTTGTTTTCTGAGGTTTTAGTTACCCAAGGTCAACATGAACCTTGTGATGTGAATATAGCACAAGATATTTTGAAAAAGATGAATAGAGGCCATATTCACATACTACAACATTCTATTTTATTAGTACTAAGTTAAATTTTATGTAGGCATGTAGGTATAGGGAAACAACAATAACAGTGTGTCTGGTTCTATCTAGGGTTTCAGACTACTGGGGCTCTGGGAATGTATTCCCATAAATAAGGGAAGACTACTATATATTCTTTACTAACTAAGAGAATTAAAGTTACCTATAGCCGACACATTCACTATGTCACATAAAATGCCTATTAATGAAAAAAAGGTTGCTATATTTTTGTTCTTGTTGTTCATGGGGCTTGAATTCAGGGACTGGGCACTGTCCCTGAGCTCTTTTGCTCAAGGCTAGCATTCCACCACTTTGAGCCACAGTGCCATTTCTGGTTCTCCAGTAGTATTGGAAATAAAGTCTCATGGATTTTCTTGCCCCAGCTGGCTTTGAACTGCAATCCTCAGATCTCAGCCTTATGAATAGCTAGGATTACAGGTGTGAGCCACCTGGCTCTGCTGCTCTATTTTTAGCACATGAAGGCAAAAACAAAATAAATGCAAAAGAAAGCAGAAGATGGGCAAGAATCTTGAAACAAAAACAACAAAAATAGCTGAGTAATTTTTAGTGTTCAGTGCATGTTCACATCCACTGGGAGGGGAAAAAAGCACTGATGTTTAGATTTACAGGATTATATTTTAATAGAGGTTTGCAAAAGAGATGCCATAAGGTAGCTGAAAATTGCAATGTTTATATTAGTATATATTATTGATACAAAGGGGTTTCATTGCCAGGCACTAATGGCTTACATCTATAATCCTAGCTGATTAGGAGGCTGAGATCTGAGGATGGAGGTTTCATGCCAGCCTGGGCAGAAAAATTCATGCAACTCTTACCTCCAATAAACTACTCAGAAAAGGCCAGAAGTAGCACTATGTTCAAATGGTAAGAGTGCAAAATGAAGCTCAGGGGCAGTGCCCAGGCCCTGAGTTCAAGCGCTGGGACTAGCACAGAAGGGGAGGGGAAATTTTCATTTCAAGGCACATATACAATATGCTCTAATCAAATTCAACCCTTCTGCTCCACTTCTTTTTCTCTCGATCGTTCGTTCGTTCGTTCCTTTACTCCTCCTCCAGCTCAAGGCTAGTGCTCTACTACTTCAGCCACAGCACTGCTTCCGGCTTCTCTTTTCTTTTTGCTTATGTAGTGCCTAGGAATCGAACCCAGGGCCTCAGGCATGCAAGGCAAGCACTCTACCACTGAGCCACCTTCCCAGCCCCTCCTCCTCCCTCCTTTTATCGGAGATAGGAGTCTCATGGTCTTTCCTGCCCGGGCTGGCTTTGAACCGTGATGCTCAGATCTCAGCCTCCTGAGTAGCTAGGATTACAGGCGTGAGCCATCAGCACCTGGCTTTACTTTTTAAAATATAGTTTTGTTAAGGTGTTGTACAGGGGCTGGGAAGGTGGCTCAGTGATAAGAGTGTTTGCCTTGCATGCATGAGGCCCCTGGGTCAATTCCTCAGCACTACCTAAACAGAAAAATCCAGAAGTGGCACTGTGGCTCAAGTGGTAGAGCGCTAGAGCTGAAGAGCTGAGGGGCAGTGCCCACGCCCAGAGTTCAGGCCCCACTTCTGACCAAAAAAAAAAAAAAAAGCTGTTGTACAGAAGAGTTAGCATTTCATAATTCAGATGTGTACATTGGACAGTCACCCTTTCCTTTGCTTTCCTCCAGTTTCCTCCTCCTGTCCCTGCCCACAATTTGCAAATTTCATTTATATACTCTTGAACTATTAGGAAGTCAAACTTAACCTATTACTTTTTTCAATTCTATTACTTTTATTAAAAGGAAAATAATTTTAATATCACCAAAAGGCTGGGGATATAGTCAGTAGAGCACTTGCCTGCTTGTATTTGTCTCAGGAGTAGCTGGGATTACAAATGTGCACCACCACACCTAGCTAAATCACCAAAAAGTATTCATTTCTCTTCAAGTACATTATAGCCAATTAAGTATTTAAACAAACTAGCATGCTAAATTTAATTTCTATGATTCTTTCTTCCCCAAAATTCATACACTGAATCCCTAATTCCCCAATGTGATGACATTTAGAGCTGAAGCCTTAGAGATAGGGATGTGTGGCTTAAGTCAACCAAGAGACATTGAGTTCAATATCCATATCCTCTTCCCCAATTAATATCACAAATAACTAAGTTTAGACAGGGTGAGACAATCATGAGGCTAGTTATAAGGAAGCTTGCCCTCCATCTACCATAAAAGACACTCAGGAAAAGGCCAACCATATATCTACAGGCCAAGAAAACAAAACACCAGAAAACACTCTGTTCTTGGACTTCCAAAACCCATAATTCTGACAATCTTTATTCTTTAAGTCAACCCAGTTGATGATACTTTGCTATAGCAGCTAGAGCAAACCAAGATATAGCTGGTTTTCACAAAAGAACATTTATGTGCATGTGTAACAAAATTAATGTGACCTTTCCAAATAAAAGATTTTGTTAAGCAGCTTCAAAGGCTTCTACATGTTTATTATAGTCTGCTCTTTGACAGAGATATTAAAAGCAGATTATATTTCTGAAAGTTTCCTTTATGCCAAGTAAAACAAGGACAGGACTTGTAAAAACTTGTACCCTACAGAAAATGGAATGCATAATAAATAGCATGTAAAATTTCTATTCTGCCCTATTAACTGCAAAAAGTGGGAATGATTTATTTTTTATTTATTTTTTGGGTGCGGTTGTAGGGCCTGAACTCTGGGCCTGGGTGCTGTCCTTTAGCTCTTCAGCTCAAGGCTAGCGCTCTACCACTTGAGCCACAGCGCCACTTCCGGCTTTTTTCTTTTTGCTTATGTGGTGCTGAGGAATTGAACCCAGGGCCTCATGCATGCAAGGCAAGTGCTCTACCACTGAGCCACCTTCCCAGCCCCGAATGATTTATTAACACTGAAATAATCTGCCACAGACATCATGAAGTCCATGTTTTTTAGAATTTAACAAATTAAGTTTAATGGTAAGAATGAAAACAATTCTTTACTTTTGAAAATATAACTGTTTTTATACAGCATACTGGTAGAACTCAATAAATTGGATTCCTGATCTCTCTAGTATTTTTACCACTGCCCATAAATAATACTAAATAAAACACATCAACCAAGAGAAATTGTTCCTTTAAAAATGCATTAAAATCAGTTTATTTAAAAAGCCACGTTATTTCATATTACTCGATTTAAAAAAGAAAAAAAAGGGGGGCGGAGAAAGAGGTAGTCATTTTGAAAACAAATTCAGTGGAAAAGGAAAGAACCCAGAGATCTAGCATAAAATGGCATAAATCTGACACGCTGGCATAAAATGACAGCCATAAGAATGCTTATGATTGAGAGAGTTAACTCATTACACTTGTAAGGTTTAAGAATGAGGCAAGCTTAAACGGAGCAAACATAAAAGGAAATTTTTTAATTGCAACTGGCCCCATGAGCTCAGAATACACAAAAGAATTTCAAGTCCATAAAATCACATGAATATTTTTGAGAATTTGGAAGGGAGAATGTTAAATTTTTAACAATAAATAAAGCGTCCAGTAGGATAACGAGCTGCCCAGAAGGGAAGAACCTCAACGTGGATATATCAAATCACGTTCCAATAAAAGCAAAGGAAAGGATTCCAGATCAAGCATTATTCGAAATACAGTGTCAGAGGGAAAAACCCCAAATTCGCAAACCCTTAACCTCGGTGCACGGCGGCCCCAACGGTGACATTCGGGCGCCCGCCCGGTACGCTGCGGACGCGTACGGCGGAAATGGGAACAAAGCCACCCGGGAGGCAGGAGGGGCTTTCGGGGCCAGCGCCTGGACTCCGAGTCCGGCACCTCGCCCCCCGCCCCCAGGCGCGGGAGGCACTGGAAAGGGCCGAGCTTGTTCACTGGGGCCGCGGCCCCCTCACCCCAAGACCCCTCCACTGTCCCCCGAGCCGGCGGCTCCGGGCCCGCGCAGCGCGCGCCAGGTCCCAGGGCGGTGACCCCTCGGGTTCCCCGCAACCCCTCGGCTCCGTCCGCCCGGACCCAGCGACGCGGCCTCGGCACGGGACCAACCGCCGCCCAGCAACGCCGCCCGCCTGCGCGCATCCGCCCCGCCTGCTCGCGCGCCCGGCTGCGACGCCCACCTGTTGGTCGCACTCGGGGCATGATTTGGTGGCCATCTTCACTTTCTTGGCTCGAGTTGCAGACATGCTCCTCTTCCGCGGCGGCGGCGGCGGCGGCAGCAGGCGGCGGCGGCGGGGGCAGAGGCGGCGGCGGCAACTCGGGCTCCTCCCCCCCGTACCTCAGCCACACAGCCTCCACCCTCCCCGTCCGCACTCGCGCCCGTCAGACCTAGGCTTTGCCGGGGACGCGCGCGTGCGCAACTCTGTGGGGGGCCTGCGTGCCGAGGGCCGGGCGGCGTCGGCAGGCCGGGCGCCGCGGGGCCCTCGCCCGGGTCGGGCCTGCTGCCGACTCCCCGACAGATGATCCCCTGGCGCTCCACACCCCGCCGCACGCCTCCCTAGCCCCCCAGCCGGCCCGCGGATTCCCTGAAAGAGACTACATTGGCCTCCCGGCGAGACAATAGTCCAGCTCCTCCGGGCCTGGCAGTTCGCGTGGGGGTGTAACTTGAGTGCGACTCGGCCAGTAACAGGCATCTTGCTTGCCCAATGAATGCACACGTTGGGCTGTCCATAGAGCCATAGGACCACCCCTTCGCCGGCTCGAGAATGGGAGTAAGGAAGCCAGATAGGCCATAAAGGGGTTAAAACCCGTCTTAGTATTACACAGTATATGCACTTCACTGATTAGCAACGCTAATCAGTGAACCATATTTAATCATATTTAATGAATCTTATTCATATGTCGATCCCGAACTTGTCTCTCTAGGTTATAAAATTTCATTAACTCAAGTTTTTTAAAAGTCACTTAGGCCAGACAGATATAACACTGAGACACCTGCTTTTAAAGGCTATGTAGTCCTAGTGGTACACATGACCTAACATTCAAATACATCATAACGGGATTTTTTTCTGAAATTATTGGCTGACAAACCAAATGGTCAAATACCAAAATGTGTTATATGAAAACCCGTACATCTGACGGGTATTTGTCAAAACTCTAAACCCAACCAATCCTGGTTATTTGTGCCTCCCTGAGCATGACTGCCTACAGGTTATAGATGGGGTTTTCTCAAGCTGGCCAGATCTAATTGATCAGCCTATCAGCCATCTGGACATGAATACTTCACAGATGACAGCAGCTCTGTCCAGGACAGCATGTATTTTGTCAAAGACAGCATATACTTTGCTAGGTATGCAGTGATAGCTCTGCACTCAGTCACTGCAAGTGCACTGCACAGCAGCCCACTTGCTGCTGGTTGGAACATAGGCACAAAAGGCTGACTGGTCTCCCTAAGATAGGCATGCCACCTCACTGGATTACTGATAAGCATCTGTATTGACTCTAAATATGCGTTCACAACCATTCATGTCCATGGGGCCCCATATAAAGGCAAAGTCCTCATTAACTCAAAAGGAAAAAATATTAAGTATGACCAAGAATGCTCAAAGTGGGAGATGCTATATGGGCCCCTAAATGGGTAGCAATTATACACTGCCGAGGGCACCAAAAGGGAGATGCCACAATCGTTCAGGGAAACCAGAGAGATGATGGGCCAAACAACCAGCCCTTACAAGGGGACCGACTCACAACTGCCCTGACAGCTGCTTTGTTCCCCTGTCTCTTAGCTGAATGGAATCTACACACCAAAAGAATAGGCTTGGTTCAAGATGGAGAAGGGAAGTTTTCTACCAGACAGATGGTGGAAGTTTGCTGCTGTTTTCATTGCCATTCCTAAGCCAGTGGCTCCCATATTCATCAAGCAGTTCCACAAAGGTACCCACTGAGAGCAAACAATCCTCAAGACCAGGAATACCCAGAACTTTTAAGTCCCCTAGCTCTTTAGCATAAGTAAAGTGGTATACAAAAGATGTAACCTGTGCACCAAAAATAATTCCCCTCAGGATCCAAGAGTACTGTCCCAGATGCAGAACATTGGTGGAAATCCTCATGAAAACCCAATCATTGGTCTGGGAATATAGCTCAGTGGTAGAGTGCTTACCTAGCATGAAGCCCTGGGTTCAATTCCTCAGTACCACATAAACAGAAGCTGGAAGTAGTGCTGTGGCTCAAATGGTAGAGTGCTAGCCTTGAGCTGAAGAGCTCAGGGACAGTGTCCAGGCCCAGAGTTCAAGCCCCACAACCAACCAAAACAAACAAACAAACAATGACTGGCAGCTGATATTTTTTTTTGGGGGGGGGGGGAATCCGGTTGTGGGGCCTGAACTCTGGGCCTGGGCGCTGTCTCTCAGCTCTTCAGCTCAAGGCTAGCACTCTACCACTTGAGCCACAGCACCACTTCCAGCTTTTTTCTTTTTGCTTATGTGGTGCTGAGGAATCGAACCCAGGGCCTCATGCATGTAAGGCAAGCACTCTACCACTGAGCCACCTTCCCAGCCCCTGGCAGCTGATATTCAACAAAGGAGCCAAAGGCATACAAAGTTGAAGAAACATAGCTGGGAAAACTGGGCAGCCACATGCAGAAAACTAAAAGTGGATCCCCGCCTATCACCATGGACTAACATCAACTCAAAATGGATTGAAGACCTTAACATCATACCTGAATCTCTGAAACTACTGCAGGACAGAGTAGGAGAGAGACTAGAACTTATAGGCACAGGCAGGAACTTCCTGAACAGAGTCCCAGGGTCACAACAAATTGGAGAGAGACTTGACAAATGGGACTACTTTAAAATAAAAAGCTTCCGTGGGGCTGGGAAGGTAGCTCAGTGGTAGAGCGCTTGCCTTGCATGCATGAGGCCCTGGGTTCCATTCCTCAGCACCACATAAGCAAAAAGAAAAAAAGCCGGAGGTGGCGCTGTGGCTCAAGTGGTAGAATGCTAGCCTTGAGCTAAGGAGCTGAGGGACAGCGCCCAGGCCCAGAGTTCAGGCCCCATGACCAGACCCCCCCCCCCCCCAAAAAAAAAAAAAACCAACAGAAAAAGCTTCCGCATAGCTAAAGGCAGATCTACTAAACTAGGAAGCCAGCCAACCAATTGGGAAAAAATATTTACCAGCACTATATCAGACAAAGGCCTAATATGCATTCTATACAGGAAACTCAAGGAATTAATCCCTCCCAAATCTATCAAATCAATCATTAAATAGGCAAGGAGCAAAAGAGATTTCTAGATGAAGAGATAAATATGGCAAAGAAACAAATGAGGAAATGTTCATCTTCCCTGGCCATAAAGGAAATGCAAATAAAAACAACACTGAGAATCCACCTTACCCCAGTCAGAATAACCTATATCCTAAATTCAAACAACAGCAAATGCTGGTGGGGATGTGGAGAAAGAGGAACCCTACTGCACTGCTAGTGGGAATATAAATTAATACAACCACTGTGGAAAGCAGTCTGGAGGTTCCTCAGAAAACTAAACATAGAAGTCCTATATGACCCAATCATACCACTCCTAGGCATCTACCCTGAACAACAGGAACCAGGATACAAGAACACATGCACCTCCACGTTCATTGCTGCATTTTTCACAATAGCCAACAAATGTAAACAACCTAGATGTCCCACTACATATGAATGGATCAAAAAACTGTGGTATCTATATTTAATGCAATATTATGCAGCCATTAGAAGGAACAAAATAATAGCATTCTCAGGGAAACAGATGGAACTAGAACAAATCATGTTGAGCAAGGTAAGCCAAGATCAGAGAGACAAACAGCACATGGTCTCCCTGATATGTAGATGTTAAAATCAAAACACAATGAGATATGACAAAGTAAACAGGACTCAAGAAACAAAGGACCTCTTCTTAATTTGTTGCATTGTTTTTAGATGACTCTATGTTCTTGACTCCACATATGAGGGAAGCTAGTAGGAGGGCACAGAATTAGAGGGAAAAGGTAAAAAAATATAGCAGAGGGTCCATCAGCTGCCCTGGACATTGATGAAAGTGAATTAAGCAACTCAGGGCAGCAATGGGAGGGAGGGAATGAGAGAGAAAGAGGAAATAGCTTACACTAAGCAAAAAGAAAGAAATGTACATATGACCTTATTTGGAAGAAATAGTTGTATCGTTGAAAGTTCAGAGTTCATAAGCTTTATAGACCATGACAGTTCACCTTGTGAAGGTTAAAATGTGTTTGTGACTTTAGCTAAATATCACTATCCCACAATATTGTGAAGTTTATGTAATCATTTAATCTCAATAAAGAAATTTTAAAAAACTTGATATTTAAAAAAAAAAATCAATGACTGTATTTGGAAGAGATGCCTCATTTGCCTGACAACTCCTTCACATCCTTACAAACCAGGGAATGCTGTGTGGGTAAAGGAATGGAATGTCCAGCCATTAAAACCTCATTAGAGGGGTCTTTTTGTTGTTTTGTCTACCTCAACTGTAGTTAAGGTAGCAGATATTGCTCCCTGGATCCACTACAGCTGAGTAAAGCCAGGCTTTCTCTAGTGGGAGTTAATCCTGACCCTGCTTTACCATGCAAGATTGCCCTCTGAAACGCCCTTTCTCAGAAGGACCTTCCAAATCTCTGCCTACCTCTGGGCAGTGAGATCACAGACCTGCTTTAGTTACTTTGAAAAATGACAAATCTACGACATGGGGAAAGATTGAGTAATTACCTGTTTCTCCTTAAGGATGAGTTCTTTCCATGATTTCCTCTTGTTAAACCTAATTTGTTTTCTGCTCAAAGATTCCCAAACATGGGCTGGGAAGGTGGCTCAGTGGTAGAGCCCTTGCCTTGCATGCATGAGGCCCTGGGTTCGATTTCTCAGCACCACATAAGCAAAAAAAAAAAAGCTGGAAGTGGCACTGTGGCTCAAGTGGTAGAGCGCTAGCCTTGAGCTGAAGAGCTGAGGGACAGCGCCCAGGCCCAGAGTTTAGGCCCCACGCCCACACACACACACACACACACACACACACACACACACACACAAAAGGATTCACAAACCTCAAATTTATGTATAGAGACTTATGTATAGAGATTACCAAGGCAAAAGACGTCATCACCAAGACTGTACTTTTCCATACTTACTCTCCTGTGCAGTCATGGTCATTGGGTCATGCCAATTTATTTGATATACTCCCATGGTAACCAGAATATATCTGCTTCAACCCTACATACCACCCTTAGGAGCAATGGTTAGAAGTCTGTAGCTTTTCACAGCTGGGGATGTCATTAA